ATTTTATTTAATAATATTTAAAGTATTCAATTTTTTAAGTTTTTATTAGTTATTATAATCACATTATATATTTTTAACTTTTAGAGTTACATGTTTATTTTTATCATTTTGTTTCTGTTTATAGATTTACATAAGACTATAAATATACCTTTGAGGAGTCCTCAAAGGAATCCTGGTTTTAATCATGTTTTTATTAATTTAGTTTTTCAGAAATTTTGTAATTTCTATTAGTGTTTTCTCCTTAACATGACATGATACACAATTTTTTCTTCTTTTTGCACTATGAGTATTTGTGTGTCCAAACAGAGTTTATTTTAAATCAATTCTTCATAAGCAAATCAAAAGGGACATTCTCTATTTTTAGAGTATTGAGGTAGACATATAATAAGGAAATCTATTTCAGTAATTATATAAATTAAATATACCAAAAACTGAGGGAGGCAGCTAAGGCAGTCCTTAGGCAGCGAAGGTTTTGTATATAGTAATTACTTATATTTAGTAATTGTGCATGAGCACGAGTAAGTGCTCTGAGATTCCCATTCCTCACAATGTTAGCCATAACTTTTTATGATCCACACAGTCAAATGCCTTTGCATAATCAATAAAGCATAAATAGACATTCTTCTGGTATTATTTCTTTTCAGCCAGGATCCATCTGACATCAGCAATGATATACCTAGTGCTTTGGCCTCTTCTAAATCCTGCTTGAACTTTTGCTGTTTCCTATCTATGTACTGTTGTAACTGGTTTTTAATGATCTTCAGCAGTCTTTTGCTTGCATGTGATATTAATGATATTATTCAACAGTGTCCACATTCTGTTGGATCACCTTTCTTGTGAATGGGAACAAATATGGACCTCTTCCAATCCTTTGGCCGGACTACTGCCTCCACATTTTCTGACATAGACTGGTAAATGCATCCATTAATTAAGGGCTGCATCTGTTAATTGAAACAGATCGAAGGAAAACTTGTCAATAACTTGCGTTATGAAAATGAGACAACATTGTTTGCTGAAAGTGAGGAGGACTTGAAGCATTTGTTGCAGAAGATCAAAGAACACAGCATTCAATATAGATTGCCTCTCAACACCAAGAAAACAAAAATTCTTACTACTAGTCCTATAGGCAATATCTTGATAGATGGAAAAAAGATTGAAACTGTCAACAACTTGATCTTACTTGGATCCAGAATCGACATTGTTGATACAAGCAGTCAGGAAATCAGGAGACTTGCACTAGGGTAATCTGCAGTTGGGAACCTCTCCAAATTGAGCAGTATTGATGTCAGTTAGAGGACTAGAATGTGTCTTATTCAGGCCATGGTCTTTCTGAACACTTGCTATGCATCTGACAGCTGTTAAATAAATAAGGATTACAGAAGAAGGATTGATGCCTCTGCTGTGGTGTTGGAGAATAGTGTGGAACATCCAATGGACTACCTAAAGAACAAATAATGTGTCTTGGGGAAAGTGTAACCAGAGTGCTCTTTGGAGACTAAGATGATAAAGCTTAGCCTTACATACTTTGGGCATGTTGTCAGGAGGGGGTATTCCTTGGAGAGAGGCATGATGCTTAGAAAGGCAGAGGGTCCTGGTGGCCTAGTGGCAAGAAGCTGCACTGCAATCCCAGAGGTGCGCGGTTCAAATCCACCAGATGTTCTGCTGGAGAACAATTTCCTCCTGTACCAGTCAGATCTGATTTGACGGTACACACGCAGAAATAGGAAAATAAAATAAAATTTAAAAAGAAAGGCAGAGGGTCAGTGAAGGAAAGGAAAACCTTCAACCAGGTGGATTGACACAGTGGCTGCTGTAGTAGGCTCTAGATTATCACAAAATGTCTCAGGATAGAACAGGATTCAAATCTGTCATGCAGAGGGTCACTGAGGTTCATATTCCACTCGACAGCACCTAACAACAGCAAAAAGAAGGAAAATTTAAAATTTAAATTTTTAAAAGTAATACGTGAATTAAACAATTTCTCAATCAGATGGACATGTTTTTTAGTAGAGCTTTCTAGGGGTAGGAAGTGACACATGTTTAATTGGAAAGTCATGAAGATTAGAGAAGGAAAATTCACATTTTACCAAAGTCCTGGTTGCTGTGTAGAAGATCAGATCATCAGGATTGAAGATAGACTCATCAGCGATCTATAATATGCAGATGACACAAACTTGCTTGGTGAAAGAGGACTTGAAACACTTCCTGGAGAAGATCAAAGACTACAGCCTTCAGTCTGGATTAATCTCAACATCAAGAAAACAAAAATCCTAGTACTGCATCAATAGGTAACATCATGATATATGGAGAAATGATTAAAATTGTCAATGATTCCATTTTACTTGGATCCACAGTTAACAGGCAGAGCAACAGTAACAGCAGTCAAGAAATAAAAAACCACATTACATTGAGAAAATCTGCCATCAAGAATCTTTTCAAAGAGCAGTGGTGTCAGTTTAAAAACTAAGGTGTGGATTAGTTAAGCCATGGTATTTTCATTTGCTTTCAATGCATCTGAAAAGGATCCTTCTAAAGAGTGTATCGAATATTGTGTGAAGTGCCAATATAACAAGTCTGTCATGGAGAAAATACAACCAGAGTACTCCTTAGAGGCAAGGATGGTGAAACTTTGTCTCACATATTCTGGGAGTGTCCTTGGGAAAAAAAAAAACCAAAAACAAACCATACTGAGAAAGAATGGGCTGGGTTAAATTTATGATATAAATAATATAATGAATAGTGAAAGAAGAAGAGTATAAGATGATTTGTAAATTTTTGTCACTAGTTACTACATGAATAATGTTACCATTTATTTTAGTAATCATTAAGAAGAAAAGATAAGGTATTTTACATATGTGGACTTTGGACATGCCCATGAGCAATCCATGGAGTTTCCATTTGCTACTTTTTGCAAAAAGATTACTACACCCGTCTTCCTGGTCTAGAAGCTCTACAGAATGTTGTTTAAAATGGGTAAACCTGCTGGCATTTGTAATACTAGTGTTATAGCTTCAGTCAACATAGCAGCATGCATGCTACTACAATGGCAAATTTATGGATGGGTGTCTCTAAATGGAGAAAAAAATGGAGTTACCAGTGGCTTTACTGCACTTCATTCAGCCGTTAATGTCCATGAAGCAACACTCAAGAAGCCAAACAGTATACGGCATTGGGAGGTGGGGGTGGGGGCAGCTATTTTAGAAGACTCCTATAAAGGTCTGAAAAGCAAAGGTATCACTTTGGTGACCAGAGTTTACCTGACCTAAGCCATGATCTTTTCACAGCTTATATGCATGCAAAAGCAGTACCATGAAAAAGGAAGACAGGAGAATTGAGGCTTTCAGATTGTGGTGTAGGCAAAGAATATTGAATACACTCTAAACTGCTAAAATAATAAATCAGTCATTAAAGGAGTGGAGTCAAAATGCTCTTTAGAAATGATGATGGTTAGACTTTGTTTCACTACTTTGTACCATCAGAAACAGTCAGTCCTAGAAAAGAACATATGATTGGCACAGTAGGAGTTGGCAAAGTGAAAACGGGAGACACTCACTGTGAGATAGATTGGCATAGTAGCCACAACAGTAGATTCAGACTTACCCATTATCATGAAGATAGCATAGGACTTGACAACATTTTGCTGTGTTACATATAAAATCGTTATGAGTGGAAAGTACCTCAGTGACAACTAACAACATGAGACCTCTAATTGGAGCTAGATAGTAAAATATAACAGCCTAGATTTCTAGAGAGCATTGCAAACTGAAGACATAGATGAAGGCAAACGCATGAATAAGACCATTTAGAGTTTATCAAATGAGAAGAAAAGGGGATTTAGGGGATGTAGCTTATTATTCACTGGAAAATTATGAGTTCTTGTATCCTCTAAAAATATAAAATTTAAAAGTATGTCGTTACTTTTTAAAATTTTCAGTAATTATTTTATGTAATTATTTTTTTCTAGTAAGTGCAGAATTTTTGCTTAAGCTTTTATTTTAAATATCAACCCAACAATTTTTCTCTTACAGAACTTTGCCAGGGTTAAAATGCAAGTAACCATGTCACTTTCCTCATTGGTGGGCACATCTCAGAATTTTAATGAAGAATTCTTGAGACGATCTCTAAAGACTATATTGACATATGCAGAAGAAGATCTGGAATTGAGAGAAACAACATTTCCTGATCAGGTCAGAAATGCTGCTTGTGCATAATTAATAGAAACAGAAATAGGCACTTTCTAGATTGTGAAATTTAATTTTTGTTTTTATTAGACGTTCCTGTATTTCTTTGTCAGTACTTGTGTTATGGATAAGAATGACTCCTTTTCCTGAATCCTCTCCTTCAAATAAGCAATCCTTCCTTCCTTGGAATAGATAATATCTTTGGTGAAATAGTTAATATCTTTGCATTTATAACAAGTAGAACAGCATATTTAGGTGGTGTAAACAAACAACAGATACATTATGAAACTTTATTGCTGCTTATTAAATACATAATAATTTTCCTTTAAAAAAGTTCCACTAATCTTAATCTTTTTTGTGAAACAGAAGTATAGGAAAAAGTTTTCCTCCTATATTACCCTATTTTTTTTCTACTTAGACTTCTACTTGTTTTCAGGTAATAGAACTTAAAAAACCCCAACCAAACCAAAACCTATAGTCTATTGAGGCTATTATACAGAGTTTCATTATTCTTTCCCAGTGATATCTCAACATACACATACTCATACTTTATAAACCTGTATAAATATGAAATTTTTATTTAATTCCCAGATGTACAAATGAACTATGTCCCAAACTGATTTAGTGGTTGTGAATGAACACAATTTAAGAACTTTTCTCCTTTTCTTTCTGTAATCCTCTGCTGCAGGTCCAAGATCTGGTTTTCAATCTCCATATGATTCTTTCTGATACTGTTAAAATGAAGGAACACCAGGAAGATCCTGAAATGTTGATTGATCTAATGTACAGGTAGCACTTATTTCATTTACTTGTACCTTATATAATGGGTTTACTGGAAAACATTTGATGAATGAAAGATAGACAAAATTATTTCTCTAATGGAAGATTAACATATAATAATATGCTATTTCCATACTGCTTTTTCAGATCCTCTGCACTACTTCTCAAAATTTTGCATCAACTATTGACTATATTTATTGCTAATTAAGAATGACAATTTCTAGAAACCAAAACATGCATGATTTGCCTTCCTGTGCTCCAGACTTGATGGAAAGAACATAAGACCATATTTTACATTAAAAACTAGGCCTTTTAAGGAGAAAATGTAATATATTTATGTTTTAAAATAATATTCATTTTCCTTATTTTGAATATATATAACTATGCCTAGAAGAAAATATTTTTGGGACATATTTTGGGAAATCCAATTCCTTTTGTTTCCTTGAAAGTTAAACTTGAGAATTTTTTCTTTGCCTTATTAATCTCTTTTAAAAATTGAGGCTCATTAAAGACCTAAGTACAATAATTTGTTTTCTTTAAAATCAAAGATTGTCTGGTAAAGCTCCCTTTTATAAAAATCCCCCTTTTCCTTCAAATATTAATATTCTGTACATTTTCATAATGAAAAGAAATTTCCATAGTTTTACCCTGTTTGTTTCTTTGGTGACCCGAGTTTAAAATTGTGTATCTTTTTTTAGCCTTCCCCCCACCCTTGCTTTTTCAAAATGTTTATTATCCTACCATAGATTATAATAATATTGAGAAGTACTATTATTTCTAAAATCAGCCTCCAAAAGACATTTTCATATCACTCAAATTCTTATCTTAATAGTTTATCTTAATATACTTTAGCTACCTTCTAGTTAATCAATGAATAAGCCATCAAAACTCCCTTTCAGCTTGGGAAGCAAATGCTAATTGAGAAGAATTTCTGTCCTAATTAGAATTGCGAAAGGCTACCAGACCTCTCCAGATCTGCGGCTGACCTGGTTGCAGAACATGGCTGGGAAGCATTCTGAACGGAGCAATCACGCTGAAGCTGCGCAGTGTCTAGTCCACTCAGCAGCCCTTGTTGCTGAATATTTGAGCATGCTTGAAGATAGGAAATACCTTCCTGTGGGATGTGTTACTTTTCAGGTAGGAATCTGCTAGATAAACATTAATGCAAGGGATGCTCTTTTTTTGTTTTCATTTTTCTCACTGATGATTACATTCATTCCATGTATAAAGAAAACATGAAACTACAAGGTGATGTTTCACAAGGTGAATTAACAATTCACCATTGTTAATAAAACTATCAGTCCTCTTTCTTCTGAATTAAAAATATGTTGTTCTGTCTGCCTTCACTACTTTGTAATTAGTTACAGATTTTATAACATCGAGAATCAGAATATAAAGACACTGTTGTTATGTGCTGTCGAGTCACCAGCATCTTATAACCACCCTATTAATTTTTTATTATATTTCATTCATGTATACATTATTTTTATACAATGCGTCATTTTTTTAACCTAAGTTGAGAGTCATAGGTTAGTTTCTGTTAACGTCTTCCTGTACAGTTTTCAGAAAAGTATCATCATTTCAACAACCTTTTCCATCTTTTTCTCCTAGAATATTTCATCAAATGTTTTAGAGGAATCTGCAGTCTCAGATGATGTGGTTTCTCCAGATGAAGAAGGTATCTGCTCTGGAAAGTACTTTACTGAGTCAGGACTTGTGGGATTACTGGAACAAGCAGCCGCTTCCTTCTCTATGGTAGATGATTCTTGTTAATTCTCTTTCCACAGTTCATCCCTGAATTATCATTGACATGTGTAATTATGCTCCCTGCCTTGTGGCTCTTGCTTTGCCACTAAAACCCTCTTGTCTGAGAGTTTATAATTTTGAGGGGGGTTTTTTGGTTGTTGTTGTTTTTTATAATCTTAATAAGCTATCATTTCTCCCCGTGTTTCTCATTTGCGTGTTCAGGAACTAGAACTAACCTGCAAAGGGATTTTTTTGTTGTTGTTGTCGTTGTTCACAAAACTTATACCTATAACGTTGAAAAGAATTTTAAATTAAGAGAAAAAAAACAACAAAAAACAAACAAACCCTCTAGGTGATTTAGAGTACTATTTGGATAGAGTAACATAGTTCTAGAAGTATTTTGTCTGCTGAATGAAAGAGAGAACCCTCTTTTTAGTGCGTTGCCCAAGTGCTCAAGAAAGTTATGGCCAGTCATTCCATCAGTTGGATACCTACTGTAATAGAAAAGTGTTGAGACTTGGCACTTCCTATGAGGAGCTATATCTATATCGTGGCCTTCCCTATCAAGGTACAACTCTTGTTCCTTCCTCCAATATATGTGATGGTTGACGTATTGGAGAATGGGAAGATGGCTATGTTAATATCTTTGAAGTATGGTGATAAGGCTACGTGCTCCTGTGATTTTATGATGCATGTTTAATGTGCAAGCACCAACATTTAGGAGACACTGAGGTTCATCTAGAATAAGAGGGAAGCTGAAGGAACATAGAATGCTGCCTTCCATCCCAGCTGTGCTACTGGAAGTTTTTTCTTCTTCCTGATCTTGACTCTAACTGGGAATATATTGGTTAACAGCATAGATTCAGAAGTCATACTGCCAGTGTTGAAATACTGCCTCTGCTCCGTAATGGCTGCATCACTTTGGGCCAAACTTACCTTATTGGTGCTTGCCTTGTCTTATCCACTAACTGTATCTAGACATAATTTCTACATCACAAGATTGTTGTCAGGATTTAATAAGCTTTAGTCATCTTCAACATCAATCAAAACCAGCCCATTTATGTATTCTGAGACTGTAAATATGTTTTTCCAGATATAAAATGTTCAAGGCTTGTCCTGTATAATGTCTTGCCTCTGAGGACATGGATGATCCCAGTTCCTCCCCTGGATTTCTGCTCCTTTGACTTAACTGGTCTAAACTAGTGGAAGAAATTTAGTCTTTTGCAATTTAAGAAATACTTAAACAAATGTACACTGTGTGTAACTTTTAACAATTTTCAGTATTGACTTTAGACTGGGATACATTGTATATTAGAAAATGCTTTCATATGATGCTAAGCAAAAGTTTGAATGTTTGAGTCTACCCGGAAAAGCCTCAGAAGGCAGGCCTGATGCTCTACTTAAGAAAAACCAACCATTGAAAACCTTGTGGACCACAGAGCTGCTGTGACACACTTGTGATCTACATGTATTGAAGGCAGCTTCCTGGCAACAGTGTTGTATAATTATGGGCCTCACTATTTTTCAGTTTATCTGTTTAGTCTTGGATGAGAATAATTTCTAGAGTATTTCACTTACATGAAGTATATTTCACTATCACCAACTACATTATTGCTGAAATTATTCCTGAAACCTGACTATGAAATCTAAGGACTTCATAGCAATTTCTTGGGGAAAATATATTTGCTGATTTGTGAGGCAGTGAGAACTACAAGTCTTTTGGAAAAAAAGACTTCTCTCTTTGCTCACTATACCTATCAGTTCATCATTAAATATAGGAGAATGGGACAGAAGCACAAATCCCTCATGACCATGACAACCACTTACCAAACACTGGCCAGCTAGCATTCAGTGGAAGAAAAAAATGGTGGTTCTAAATCTCCTGATACTCAGTTAAAGTTCAGTGATTGTACCACAGGAGATCTCCTAAGTTGAAGAATATTGATACCGGTGTGTTATTTCAGAAAAGTAAGTGATTTTGGTTACCTGGGAGGCCACAGGTTCTCTGATTATAGGAGTAGTGAGCATTGTAACTAACATAATAATGGAATTTCTTTTATTTCTCTGCTTAGAATTAATTTCTGTAAAAATGTATGTGCACATGTAAGTATATACACACATAAATACACAGAAGAAACTATATATTATACAACATTTTTGCTAAGGCTTAATTAAAAATTGTTAGTTTCCCCTTAATTTTTTGTTTGTTATATTGGAAAAGATTGAATTGTATTGTTGTGATAAAAATAGTGTTAATTTATAAATTGTAATTATTTTACTTAGTTATTGATACAAAAGAAAGCAACATCTTTAAAAAATATTCTTACAGGCTGGCATGTATGAAGCAGTTAATGAAGTTTATAAAGTACTGATTCCCATTCATGAAGCAAACCGGGATGCAAAGAAACTATCCACGATTCATGGTAAACTTCAAGAAGCATTCAGCAAAATTGTTCATCAGGTAATGATTCCTATTAATAGCTTCAGAAATAGTGGAGAAAACTGTTTAAAGGCACAACTGTTGCTATGCTCATGTCAAATTAGATCCCTTGAGATGGCCATTTAATCAAGTTACAGATGAGCAATAGATGGTTCATAGTCAAAACAAGGCTAATGATTACAAAATGAATTAACTTACAGTAGATTACCATCATCATAAATGTTCTACATAGCCTTTTCTGCCACTGTTTAAAAGTTATTATTAGTAATTTTTTAATAGTAAGATTTTTTTGTTTCATAAAGTTGGTAATAATTCAGAATCTGAATTTTAAATTTTATTTCTGTTCCTTTGCGCCCCTGAAATATTTTACTATTTATGTTAACTTTTTATTAAATTATTTTGAAAGTTGATAAGCTAATATTTCTGTGGCCCTCACCTGAATTTAAACTTTTTTCCCCCTAGGTTGTACATCCCTATTTCCTTTTATATATTTTTAATATGGAAAAAATACAATGAAAATAGTTTATTCAAAAAGTTGCCTGTGTGAACTAAAGCAGTCTGTTAACCTTCTTTTTCTCTCCTTTTCCATCCCCTTCTCTTTGTTGCTGCTGCCCTTATCTATCTAAGGAGGAGGCAGAGTATTGATGATCTACTTCTGTAGTCAATACTCGCCCTACTGTATTGTCTCTTAACTTCAACCTTCTTTTTCGTGCCTTGAGCGAAACTTATTCTAGAACAATTGGTATCTCAAAAACTTTTAACAATCTCAAAATTGGATTACTATTCTTTTAAGCCAGGATTTTATTGTCAGCTACTAAAATATTGACCTTGGAAATGATTTACTAGATTTCATGATCATAACAAATTGGTCTTTTTGTAACTAGTTGCACATACACTTCAGAGAAACCTCATCCCAGCCTCTATTGCTTTAAGTATATATTATGCATGCCACTTCTGGATCATTTAGAGCTCTTTGTTTTTAAGAAATTTTCATCAAATTGCATTAATGGCACTTGAGCAAGTTTGTGATTTATATTCCGATATAACCTGATTTATTCAGTGAGTGCAGTGCACATTAGTTAAGAGATCTAACCTTGTATTTACACTCACTAAAATATTCTAATGGCAGTATTTAACTACTACAAATGACAAATTTCTGAAACCACAAGTTCTAAATGAAAAAATAAATGCCTTGACGTATCCTGGTACCTTTTAGTAATGGAGAATACTTTGTGGTATATCATGCCTTATATACTACTGAACTTCCTTTGGACTTTTTTGTTATTTTTTAAACATTTTTTTTATGACTTGCCCTTTCTTGCTTTTCATTATACAGAGTACTGGCTGGGAGGTAGGTAATGTTTTAGTTAGTTAAAGACACTAATAGATTGATCAGATTTCTTACGCCAATGCTTTGCCCACATGTGCTAGCTGTGGGTGTTCTGTTGCTATCTGCTATCAATTGAATTCATTAACCAAAGAAATTTTATTAAAATACTGTAAGTTATTTTAAGAATTTTCTTATTAAAAGGTTGTATGTAGGTAGTGCATGGAAGTATGTTACACTAATGAGATTCTTTGGTAAATGAGCCACTTTGTCATCACTCTAGTTTGTTTTTACCCTTTAAAGCATTTTCTTTCATCAACATTTACACACAGATTTCTTTCTTTTTTTTTCCCAACCATGTTCTTTCACCTCATGTTACAGAGGTCGATTTATGTATTTTATTGCTCAGAGGTACAAATAGAAAATAGTGTATTTCATCTAATCTGAGATGCCATCAATCGTAAGACGTATAGTTTTATATCCTTCTAAGAAACGAGAGAAAAAGTTCTGTGTATTAAACCAGGACATCTTTTTAGCTGAAAGATAGATACCAAATACAGAGGTATTAAAATATGACCAAAATTGTGCATCTTGCAGTTGATAAGATTCTGTATTTCTTTGCATTTGCTTTACTTCTTTTTGAGTATAAACACTGCTGAGAACGGAAAGTCACTCTTCATTGTTTACATTGTATTAGGATAGGGATAGTAAACGTGAGAGAATTTTAAAATTTGACCTCATATTGTGACGGTTTATATAGATATAGATAAATGATGATTTAATAAATATTATGTGTACTTTCATCTTTCGTAGTAAATAGGCCCAAGAAAAGTTTGATATAAACCAAATCTTATTTGAAAAATACTAGTTGATCACCATTGTTATCAATATTTCTGTAAAGGGAAAGAATTCTGTAAAACATGGTTTTCTTTTAATGAGGTGAAGCAAGGTATTAACAGTTTGAGTTTGTGTAAGGCTAGGTATTTTTGTACAGCTGTGTGCTTTTCCTCTCATATGTCATTTAAGCTTGTAGTGATTGAACAGCTTAAGCTTTCTGTATCTGGTTTTCACTGTAGTCTTTGTTTTGAGTATCAAAGAGAAAAACATAGGAATAAATGTTATCATTGCATTTTCTTCCATTTCTAAATCAGTACCTACCTTTTGCTTTTCTTTAGATGAAGCCATTTCTTTTACATCTACCTTAATTCTCCAAATTAAATGTGTGTGACTTTATGTCTAAGCACTTTTGTACAGACCAGTGAGCATATATGAGCAGATTTGCCATGATTTCTTTGGAGTGATAAAGGTCAATATGAATTCCCTAACTTGAATAGAATTAGCTGAGAATTAGGTATAGAATTAGCTGAGAATTAGGTATAAAGGAATATATTGAAACCTCTGAGCAGTTTATTAGTACCTGCTTGATGCTGAATCGACCCCTGAAAGGTATAATTTTCCTGGTGTGACATTCATATCATTCTGTCATCACGTGTATTGCATGGTAAAAGTTGCACAGACTTAATTTTCTTGTTTATATTTGTGTCACTGCTTTTTACTGGACCTTTAGCTTTTAGCTTCTAAATTTGTTGCACGCTTTTATTTGCTTTTCCTTTGTAAAACTTTAATGGATGCTTGCATTTTAAAAGTTGTTTGCTACCATTTGCTGCTTATTTGTTTTGAAATTTTCCTAATTAAAATGCTTTCTGTTTTCTCTTCTCTTGCCCCTGGTTGCTGACCCTACTCCCTACTTTTACTATTGTCTATTGTGGTAAGTTCCTACCTTGTGAATATTTTTCTTTTTGACTCCGTGTAAACTCCAGTAATTTCATTTTATCTATAAGCTGTGCCAGCTAAATTTCTCAGACTCTTACAGAATCGTCACTGAATTGGAATCCAATGAGGAAAATTTGCACTGTAAATATGCTTCTTGAGTTTATAACTTACTTTGATTTACAAAAAAACTCAGCCTTTCTGAGCTTGTATCATAGTAATGTGTTTGTTTGGTTGTTTGGTCTTTTTTTTTTTTTCTTTCCCTGATTTGGTACAAATATTTGAGTTGGCAAAACTTTGTTAGTGGGGCGTGGGTGTGTTTGTGTGGGTGGGTGTGTATGCATATGCAAAAAAATAGCTCTAAAACTTGTGGTTTACCAATTTGATAAGTTAATTACCATGCAAAAGAAACAAATCATGAACCGTCATGAATCATAGTGACTCTTATTTGCTCTGTTTCACTTATTAGCTATTTAGTTTTATTTCCTCTTCATTAAAAGCCCTTTATTTTCCTTGAAATAAAAGAAAGTAAAATATTTTAAATAATTTCTCCTTTATTACTGCATTTCTTTATTATTATTATTTGGGTATAAAAGGCAGAAATGGTAAACTTCTATATGGAAACTCTTTTTATTTTATTTCATTATTTTTTGTGTGTACTGTCAAATCAGATCTGACTGATAAAGGAGGAGATTGTTCCTCCTTCTCCAGCCAAGCATCTGGTAGATTTGAACCGTATACCTCTGAGATTGCAGTGCAGCTTCTTGCCACTAGGCCACCAGAGCTCACCACAAAACTCTTATAAACATTTCAAACTTTGTATATCTTTTAATTTTTTTGCTTTAAAAGATGTATGTATATTCATTTATGAAACAATGATTAATTTTATAATCAGAAGTATGTTAATGTCAGTTTGAATATTTTAGAAAAATTAGTCCACAAACATTGATACCATAGAGCAACATGAGAGGACAGCATATTTCTTTAAGAAATGCTACAACCTTAATAGACATAATTTTACTGTCCTTTCTTAATCTAAACGTTCTTCTGGATAACAAAAAAATGAGTAGTCCAATTTAAGATTAAAGTCATGCAAAATTACTGGATTGTCATCTCTTTTCAGCCCAGTGACTGACTGGACATAAATGTAAGCCGGCAATTTGGTCTGTAGATAATTAGAAATACTGGCCATACTTCGGGCTTACTAGCCTCTGTTGAACTCCTGTGTACACTGTCCAAACTAAGAAGCCCTGGTGACATTGTGCAGTACATGTTGATGTGCTGAACAGAAGGACTGTGGTTCTAATTCCCAAGCTACTGCACAAGAAAAAGATAAGACTGTTTTTGCCTCTAAAGACTTACAAACCCAGCGAAGGGTTGGCGTGAGTGAGAATTGACTCACTGGCAGCAAGTTTGATTTTTGAAAGCTTTAGTTCAGTCTAAAACTGAGCAACATAAACTAATTGATCCAAACAACAAGTTACAGAGCAGAACTAGAAAGAGGTAATTAAAAAGATGTGGTGGCATTAGGGTAACCTGGAAAGCAAAACACGAGGAGGCAAAACTGGAAACACTCTGGTAGCAAAGGCTAGAACTGAGGAAGAAAAAGCCTTGACAATGGTCCAGTGCTCTGCTGTCACCCAAAAGACTGGCACTTCAAACGCACAAGTCACCTAGTAGAAGAAAAGACCTGACAATCTGCTCTAATAAAGATGAGAAGGTGACACACTAGGACATTTTATGAGACAGTTCTACTCTGTCTTTTTGGGTCTCTGTGAGTCGGTACATGAAAGCATAATCAAAACAAGTACTTTGAGGCACTTGAGTGGAAAAATGTGATATTCTGTAGAAGAAACCAGAACTGCAAATACAAAACAACCCTAAGTTTTTACCACAGGGAGATAAAGTTAGGAAGAAGAAAGAT